GTAGTAGTAGTAGTAGTAGTAGTAGTAGTAGTAGTAGTAGTAGTAGTAGTAGTAGTAGTAGTAGTAGTAGTAGTAGTAGTAGTAGTAGTAGCAGTAGTAGCAGTAGTAGTAGTAGTAGTAGTAGTGGCAGTAGTAGTAGTAGTAGTAGCAGTAGCAGTAGTAGCAGTAGTAGTAGTAGTAGTAGCAGTAGCAGTAGCAGTAGTAGTAGTAGTAGCAGTAGTAGTAGTAGTAGTAGTAGTAGTAGCAGTAGTAGTAGTAGTAGTAGCAGTAGCAGTAGTAGCAGTAGTAGCAGTAGTAGTAGTAGTAGTAGTAGTAGCAGTAGTAGTAGTAGCAGTAGTAGCAGTAGTAGCAGTAGTAGTAGTAGTAGCAGTAGTAGTAGCAGTAGTAGTAGTAGTAGTAGTAGTAGTAGTAGTAGTAGTAGTAGCAGTAGTAGCAGTAGTAGCAGTAGTAGTAGTAGTAGTAGTAGTAGTAGTAGTAGTAGTAGTAGTAGTAGTAGCAGTAGTAGTAGCAGTAGTAGTAGTAGTAGTAGTAGTAGTAGTAGTAGTAGTAGTAGTAGTAGTAGTAGTAGTAGTAGTAGTAGTGCATTGATTGATTTTTGGAGTCACCTGTAGAACAGAAATGGGGCTGTGAGTTTGTTGGTTGTGTTTGTTGTTTGTTGTTTGTTGTTGTTGTTTGTTGTTTGTTGTTTTCAGGATTCACACTCTGCTCAGTTTATTTCTTTATCAGGAAACATATTTACAAAAACAAGAGTCTGAAAATAAATAAATGTTTTCACATTGGTGCAGAAATTATGGAAGACCTGGTCAAAAACAGGGCTAAACTACAATTCCCTTTTTACCTGTAAAAATCCGAATGAAAGGAAGACAACAGCAAGACAGAAACAGAAACAAAAAAAGTGTAAAAACGTTAGTGAACTTTAGTCTTGTACGGTTGAGCTGTTTCAAAATTCTTGGATAAAACCACCAAAAAAAAAAAGAAAAGTTTGGTTTTTCATTTACTTTCAAAGCACAAAATGATTTAAAATTGAATATAATAAAAACAGACTTAAATTCGATGCCAGATTATTTTTAAAAAACATTTTAAAAGTGACTTCCAAAGTTAGCATGTAGGCTATAGGCTACGTTGGCGTTATTTTTCCCCACAGTGCAGTTCTGCCGCTTAGCTTATCTGTCCCTGCGCTCTTAACCTTAAAGGGACAGTTTGGGTTTTTTGACATGAATCTGTATGGTAAACCCGTGAGCAGTGTCATGCATCCACACTGACTTTACCCCCGACAGCGTCCGGTGAGCCGAGATACTGGCCATTTTCGGAGCTGACGAAAGTAGTCCGGCAAGTCGGCTGGGGACAGTAAAATAAAGCATTTTTCTTCTCAAAACAATCTGTGTTCAAAAGAGTGATACATTTGCATCACAAAACCATCGTCCTCCAAAAAGTCAGACCTCATAATCACTTGGCACTATTTTCTCTACGTTCGTATCACTGCGCGCTGCCGCCAGGTGACAGCCACGTACAGATTCCATGACTTTCTTCAGTTGTTCGGCAGTGTTTACATGCGCAGACCGCCGCCACGCGAGAGAGCTAACGTGAGAGCTAGAGTCATAAGTATATAAGCTTGTATAAGATACATAAAAATATCCCCTTGGCTTTGTGGTAAAGGCAATGTCTTCATCGTCGGTGCCGTAATCAGACATGTTGTCGCTAACAAGTAGTAAACAAAGTGAACCAGGAGCAGTGATACGAACGGAAAGAAAATGGTGCCAAGCGATTATGAGGTCTGACTTTTTTGAGGACGATGGTTTTGTGATGCAAATATATCACTCTTTTGAACACAGATTGTTTTGAGAAGAAAAACGCTTTGTTTTACTGTCCCCAGCCAACTTGCCGGACTACTTTCATCAGCACCAAAAACGGCCAGTATCTCGGCTCACCGGACGCTGTCGGGGATAAAGTCAGTGTGGATGCACGACACTGCTGATGGGGATGCCATACAGATTCATGTCAAAAAACCCAAACTATCCCTTTAACCAAATGAACTGTTTCTAAACCGAACCTGAACCCGAACTTTAACCTGATTGTGAAAAAATATATTGTCAAAAAACTGAGGTGTCCATTTTGCTATTTAGCATTAGCATTTTGTAGCTAATATTGTGATTGCCATTTTCCACTTGTGACGTCAGGCTGGTTATGTACGACGTCATTTCACTGCTCACGTCTGTGGCCTTTTGCAGTTTTGTGTGGAGCGAAGCCAACTGTACATCACAAATTTAGTTGAATTATTACAGAAAACCACAATTTGATTCTTTTAACATCAGTTCAGAGCTTTCTCAACCACAACATTCAGATCATCAATTGATACTTTGCAGCTGATATCAACAACATTCTCTGAGGATGTGAAACTGACGGCGCACTCACACTAGGACTTTAGAACCGTGTCGCGGTCAAGCACGACTGTGTAGGGTTCTGTGGTCCGCGCTCACACGGCCCGATGACGTTATCAGACGGCGCTGTTTGTTTACATGTGCTAAGACTTTTAGGAGAGAAAAAAAAGTCCAGATGATACGTGCTCCTCTACACCCAGTGTTGGGAAGGTGACTTTTAAAATGTATTCCCCTACAGATTACAGACCTCAAAATGTAGTTTGTAACGGAATCCATTAAATTACTTAAGGTGAGTAATGTAATCTGAATACTTTGGATTACTTGATTTTCTGTAGAGAAACAAAGATGAGGAAATCTTCACATAAGAATTTTTGTCTGATAAAAGAAAATAAAAAGCCCAGACTTTACTGAACCAAATTAAAAATATTATTGATAGAAGAGGAGGAGATACAGTCAGCGCAGCATGGTTTAGTCCTGTTAAATCCCGTTTTAGACCTGGTTTGGACCTGGTTTTAGACCTGGTTTAGATCTGGTTTAGACCTGGTTTTAGACCTGGTTTAGATCTGGTTTAGACCTGGTTTTAGACCTGGTTTAGTCCTGGTTTATAGTCCGGCAATGAGTGGAATTACCAAAAAAAAAAAAGGGATTTAGCCCAAAATGTTAAAACAGGAAAATACCGCCGTGTAATCCATTTATTTCAACAAAGTAACTGTAATCTAACTACCACTCTCTGAAACAGTAACTGTAACTGAATACAGTTACTCATAATTTGTACTCTGATTACATAACTCCGGTACATGTAATGTGTTACTCCCAACACTGTCTACACGTACAGCGTGATACAGCGCGGAGCAGTGATGACAGCCGGAGACAAGAGGCAGCTAAACTTCTGTCCTTATTGAGGGTAAGTGTGTGTTTATTCAGTTTTCCTCGTATTAGTAACATCACTGCACCTGACAGGGCTCATATAGTAAAGTCGTGTGTGTGTTTACATGAGCAACTGTGCCGTGCTTTGACCCACCTCCACCGATCGGGCCAAAGTCCCATCCTTGCAGTGACACAGATCGACTGCGCTCACACTTTAGGGGAGATCTGTACTTGGGCACAGTTCTAAAGTCCTACAGTGAGTGGACCCTAACTGAACGCACTGCTCTGTCTGAAGCTCTGTTATTCAAGTTGCACTCACACTAGGACTTTAGAACCGTGCCCAAGTACAGATCTCCCCTGAAGTGCGGTACGTTTGCCCAGTGTGAGCACAACTGAACCGTGCCCAGACATGGGACGGTCAGGACTTTGGCCCGGTTGGAGGAGGTGGGCCAAAACATGACCCGTTTGCTCATGTATGCGCACACACACACCACTTTACTATGTGAGCTCTGTGTGTGATGATGTTACTCCTGTGAGGAAAACAGTGAATAAACTCTGCTCCAAAACACACTGCAAATTTGCGCTTATCTTCAATAAACGACTGTAGACGGTGACAAAAGTTTTGGAGTCTCGTCTCCGGCTGTCCTCACTCCTCCACGCTGTTTTTATATGCATGAACTCACAGAGGAGAGTGTATCATAAGAGGACTCACATCTGTCGCACTATTTAATAGATATTTCTGCCGCTGGACTTATTTTCTCTGCTAAAGCGTTAGCTCTGCTGTGCCACATGTAAACAAACACCGCCGTGTGCTCACGTCATTGGGCCATGACACATTTCTTAAGTCCTAGTGTGAGTGCACCCTTAATCTGAATTTTGTTTTAGTACAATTTGCCCAGACAGCACTGACTTGGTTGGAGCTACAACAGATGAGCTGATTTGTGCTACTTAAAAAAGTCCCTCTCAAATAACATTACAGTCACAAGCTAGTTAGCATTAGCCAACAGTTTTTCAGTCCCCTCATTTTATTTGTTGAAAATCAAACTCCTAAATAGAACCATGAATGCTCTTTTTGATCCATGCTCCTGAAAATGTGCTGTTTAAATCCATTTTGTATTTTTTCTTAAAATTTTTGACAAACTTCAAATGTTTCGCCTGACTTTGCTAATGTTTGCATTGTGTCACAACTAATAGAAATACATGTAGAACACCCCCAGTGTGATGCCACTGCAAATTATCAACAGAACGACAAAAGCTGACATAAAATCACTAATCCAGGGTGATCAGATTTTCAAGATTAAAAACTGGGACACCCCCGGGTTTGGTCGCGGTCGGTAGCAATAAAATTGTGAAATGAGCGCGTAATTAAAGAAAGTTGTTCTGCACTTGGCCCATTCACGACTTATTCACGATAACATGAGTCAGTAGTCATATTTTCTTTCTGTTTTTCGTAATTTTACCTAAATAAAACCCTAAAACAAAAAAAATCTAGACAATCTATGCCTGGTTTTACTGTTTACAGGGATTAAATTGGTGAAAAATAGGGACACTTGGGACATTTCTTTTATAAAACTGGGACAAATCACTGGTTTTGGATAAATCTACTGGGACAAGGGACACAGGGCTCAAAACTGGGACTGTCCCGGGTAAACAGGGACGTCTGTCTGGTCACCCTACGCTGACCCGTCTCTTTTTTGTCCATCCCTTTTAACCAAAAACATCTGCGAAAATCCCATTTGCGATCCCGCCGTATCCTCACACGGCCTCGGACAGCTCCTGGAGGCCCTTGGGAGGTCCCGTGGGCGAGGGCGGGTCCGACCGGGGCGGCGTGGAGGGTGGCGAGGGGAACAGCGTGGGCGGGGCGTGGTGCGGAGAGGGCGGGGCGCGCGGGAAGAAGACCAGCGGCTGGACGGGAGACACCGGCGAGGGGGAGCACAGCGCGTCTTTGGTCGGAGAGTCGTCCGCGGGGGGCGCTACGGTCTGGGAGGAGAGGGACGCGGGCAGGCAGATGATCGGTTCTGAGGAGGGGGACAGCAGAAGGGGCGGGGTCACGGGGGTAGACGGAGAGCTCTGATTGGTGGAGAGGTCACTTTGGGAGTTGCTGATGGTGAGAGGAGGTCCAGGTTTGGGGGGAAGGTTGGGTTTCTCCGGTTTCTCTGGTCTTTCTGGTTTCTCAGTTTTTTCCGGTTTCTCTTGTTTTTCCCGTTTCTCCGGTTTCTCTTGTTTCTCGGCGTCTGAAGTGGGAGCTGGAGTTTTGGACAGTGGTCTGCAGTTGATCTTGAAGGCCTCTTTATCTAGAGCTGTGTTCTACAAAACACAAGGACACATCATCAAAGCAGAGAAAGTAACACGTAAAGGAACAGAGAACAGAATCCACCAGTGCCTCAATAACGAAAACAGATCATTATTATTATTATTATTTAAGGATTTATATACGGGACAACAGCCGAAAGTTGGATTGAGTAACTTTTCTCGTGGAGGTTTCGCCAAATGCTTTTCTCCATGGAGATGTTATTGCTTTGTCTGGAATGTTTCACAGTATGGAATTATTAAACATTTTTATCTTCATGAAAACCAAACCAGACCAAGTTACAGGTCAGATCTGTGGAGAGGCGACCGCGCTTACAGTCAAGAGTGTTTGTTTTTCTAGGAGATTATGAGCTATAAACCACTTGATTTGATTGAATAAATGTAAAGTAGAGTTGTCAGAGTTGCCGCGGTCATGGAAATCCTGAAAAAGTCCTGGATATTGAAAATGTCATTTTCCAAGCCTAGAAAAGTCATGGAATTTTATTATCTCTTTCACACAACTACAACATTCTGTTAAGTTCTCATTAGGCTATTATGATTTACTTTTTGTTTAAAAGAGATGACAACAAATGCATAGACCAAACATGTCAGACTCAGGCCTGAGGGCTAAATTTGGCTCACGATATAATTATATTTGGCCCACGAGATCATATCAAATATGGTTTAGAGCTGCCTGCTGGTTACAGATCGACTATAGAGACATTATTTATTTAAAATGTTGTTATTATTTTATTTTATGCTTCTTCTGGATTCAATGTTTAAGCAAAACTATTATTAAACATTTATTTTAATAAGAAAAGGTTTAACATTACATATCTCGAAATAAGAGAAAACGTGCAGATCTAATATTTAATCTGACCCAAGAGTTAGTCCCAGTTTTTAATTTTGTCCCCTCTGTGAATCTGAGTTTGACACCCCTGACATAGACAGTATTTTGAATGTTAAAAACTATAATCCCAAACCATAAAGTTGAGTGAAAAGAGTTCACATTTCATATTTAGCCCTAAAAGTCTGATCAATTCTGCACATGTAGGTGTCGTAAAGTCATGGAAAATTCACTTTATGTCATGGAAAATCGTGGGAACCCTGTTTAATGTCATACTGTGGAACATTCCAGGCAGAGCAATGGCGTATCCATAGAAACAAGCAAGTGATGGACCCCAAGCCAAAAAGTTACACAGTGCAGCTTTAAAAAATCCATATTACACTATATTCTGATCCATGTTATAATGTTTTGGTTTTTTTTTCATCACAAACAGACCTGGAGTTGTGTTTTGTTTCATTCACACATGTTTAACGCACAAACCCTGAAAATTTAGGCCTTCTCCCAAGCACAAAACACTCTGTTCCACCTGGTGATGTCATGTGATAATACAGGAAGTGCTCCACTGTGTTTTTAAACTCCACACACCTTCACTAGAATCATTTGGATCATTTCAGAGCTGGAATTCCCCAATCTCTACTGAACAAAACGTAAAAGGAGCTGTAAACTTAAAACTAAAACTACAGCTTCGTGACATCACAAGGTGGACCAGAGGATTTTACTAATAATAAAGAGTTACTTAAACATGTGAGAATGAAACAAAACACAACTCCAGGTCTGTTTTTGAGGACGTAACAACATTATAACATGACTTAACGCTCACAAGAGTCAGTTTTGTGTAATATAAGACTTTTAAACTTCCTTTTTACATATAAATCCATAGTATCCAAGTACTTTTTACTACATAAATACATTTGGTTGCTGTTTCTTTATTACGGCATTTCAGATTCCACACACAAAATCAAAACCGTCACATCAGACCGTCGTTTTGTCAGTTACACTTTGTTTTTTAGTTCAGCTCATTTCACATCAGTTCACTTAGTGGTAAAACTACTCACCCAGAGCTGTGAGTTACTACGAATGATCACAAAAAAACAAACAAAAACAAGACAATGACACCGATGGGAGTGAGTGATGGTCCGCCGCACTCCACCAGGGGGCAGAGGAGAGTGCACATCTGGAGTTTAATAATGAATCGATGCAAATTTTGAGACGTTTGAGAGTAAGATGTTACCAAAAAGTTAAACTAAAAAAGCTGGATTTGTTTCGTTTTGGAAGCTGATGTTTCTCTGTGAACCACGAAGCTTCAAATAGGAAGTGAGCATGGACTCATTTCTGGCTCCAGTTCAATTTCTATTGAAGAAAAAAAAAAAACATCGCCTGTTTCTCTGTAACTGTTATTGTCAGGAGGTCATTTTTGTCTTAAAATGTTTGTATTAACCCGCTCTACATGATCATAGGGTTTATTTATTTCACAATTTCAACCTTAAATCAAGATATGAACATTAATAACAGACCAATGAGCTTCCCTCTTTCCTTACGTGTTGCTTTCAGTTTATAGTTTAGTTTATTTAGTTTATTTGACCGGAACTATGTACAGGAGCATTAATCAAAGAAACAAATCGAAGAGATGTTTTGTACGAGGCTGTAGCTCTCAGGACAAATTTCCATCTGCAGTCCCCTGAGACACGCAAAAAAACATACAACACCCTCGTTCCTGAACTCGGCTTGAAATTTGCCTCAATAAACTATATTCGCGCTCACGTCACAAAGCAGAAAGACATTTGGAAACACGCGATGACAGCTTCCGGTGTGGTTCCCGACACTGGGCTCGCCGACCGAATGTGATCAGGGGTAAAATGAAGACTGTATATGTATGTGCTGTTTGGAATCATCTTGAATTTGGCGCCTCTGGACACTGTATCCGTCTGCAGGGAGGAGCTAACTACACTGAAACTCCTCTGAAACCAACACACCTACTTGTTTACAGTTTCTGTTTGTTAGTTAGGCCTATTGAATTGCACTGAGTGGGGAGTCATATTAGTGAATCATTCAGGGCCATAATGGAGCTTCCACACCTCTGGACCTGACCTGGATACCCCTATTGTTTTCTTTGTCTGAGGTCACGATTTCATAACAAAAATAGCTTCTTTAACTCCCCTCTCAAACCAATTCTTTTCTCTGACTCAGATTTGTACTTCACTGTCCTCAAAAGAGTGACCCAAGCCTTTTAGATGGAGATGTACAGAAGACTGAGGTCCTGTGTTGCTCTCTCGTCTGTGTTGGTACATCCTCTTGTGAAGAGTCTGTTTTGTTTCTCCAAAGTAACGCTCACTGCAGTCTTCTCTCCAAATGACTTTGTTTGTGGCTCGGTGTTATGTCCTTTGGGTGGACTAGTTCCTGTCTTATAATGTTTCTAGGTTTGAAATAGACCGGGATTTCATGTTGTCTGAAAATCCTCTGTAGTTTTCAGAAACACCAGCCATATAACAAATAGTTACACCCTTTCTCCTGGGTTCTGATTCTCTGTTGTCCTGTTTTTTTACCTGGACAGAGCCTCCCGGAAGTCATCATCGCATGTTTCCAAATCGTTTTCCTGGTTTGTGACGCAAGCGTGAATAGAGCCTCGATGAGCTTCATTTGACTGGAGCCAAACGCCGACATCACACTCACTTAGTCCTCAAAACAAGTCCTGATGAAGCCTCCTGGTTGGTAGAGAAACATCAGCTTCTAAAACGAAACAAGTCCACCCGTTTTAGTCGAACTTGTTGATATCAGTTTAATAATTTTTGTGTTTTCTTTTCTTTTTTTATTTTCATAGAATTTCTGCGTCTCTCCGTTGCCCTCTGAGCAGCGTGCAGCAGCAGCATAAGGCAGTTAGTGGTTAGTACATACCATGATCTTGGAGCTAAGGTCAGAGGAGGGAGAGCAGGGGGAGGGAGAGCAGAGGCAGAGACACAGCTCATGTAAGCGGCGCACACAGCAGGCAGCTTTACTCAGGAAAAATACCGTTCAAAATAACACACACTGACCTAAATAACACACACCGGCCTAAATAATAAAGTAAAACAGTGATCAGAACCCTCGCAGTCGCCTCAAACCTGGACGCTTCAGGGAATTGCACTTCATATATTTGTCCACAAGAGGGCAGAGCTCTACTATGAAGTATAGGTGCAAATCAGACAAGTACAGAGGTGGGTAAGTACTACTCCGTTACTTTTTCAGCCGCAAGTAAGAGTACTGTTACTTCAATAAAAATATTACTCAAGTTGGACTAAAAGTTGTGGTTCCTCTTCCCGTTGTGAGTAAATCTAAAGTGATAAAAGCTTTAACCCTCGTGCACCCCTTTAAAAATAGTTACACCTGTGCTCCTTCGTGACAAAAATGTACATCGAAAAAATAATACCACAATATTTTTATGCAGTACAGATTTGTGTTCAACGTTTTTATACCAATGTCTTCTTCTGCTCTAATCATACATACCAAATATTATATCATATTTTGAAATTTGATCCCTTTAAATGCCATTTTTGACAGCAAAAGTCTCAATTTTTTGTGCATGAAAAATTTAAAGAACTGATTATTTTTATATTTTTCAAATCATTTTAATTTGTTTGTGTTGGGATTACCAGAGGTTGGGGATTTCATAAAATAATGCCAACACTGATTTTTACATTCTTTTAGTTTTTGCACAAACCCAAATAGTTACACCTGTGCTCCTTTGTGACAAAAATAGAAAAAGAATACCACAGTTTTTTTATGCAGTGCACATTTGTGTTCAAACTAAACAATTTGAAGGGTTTTCAATACCAAACAATGAAAAATAAATGGTAGTGAATGGAACAAAAATGTACCGAAGGACCACAGGCCTGAGTATTTTGATTATAGCCCGTTCAATTAATGTGATGTCGAAATAAAACACAAAGATTAAAAATACATCACAAGATACACAAACTGGCCCAATTTGGTGCTATTTGGTGCAATAACGCCAAAGTTCTGCAAAAAAGAAAAGCTGAGATGTACAAAAGTTTACCTCGAGGTGCAGGAGGGTTAAGTCGACAATATGAAATTATTTGAACATTAACGACAAATTATGAATCAGATGTTGCGTCCTGAAAGTTGTTCTTTAAGTTACTTTGATTTGAGTCATTTCTTGGACCACTACTTAATGTAA